ACTAGAATAGAACCACATTCTATTCCAGCGTCAACATAACATCAGGCCTAGTGAATGATGAATGATTCCGTGATTTTAATTGCAGATCAAAAATAAAGTGCATGTCCAGAAATTGTCATTGCACGGGTGGACATTTACAAATAATGATATTCATTGAGCTTATATCAACTGTTACCATGGTAACAAAATGGCGGTCAGGTGCAAAGAGCATTATTATTGATAAAAGATTGTTTTTGTGAAGAATTAGTGACATTAAAGAAAATAAAATCAGTATTATTATAATATAATTGTTACTACAAAAATGTCTGTGAGCTACTTATTCGCAAGAAAACGGCAGAAGAAGGGCATTCGACGGGAGGAACCATGGATAGCTCCAAACAGCCAACTGAGACTTCAAGAGACAGGAAAAAACCTTATCTTCTTCAAAATACTTGTTTGCTAGGCTTTCTGATCACTTTGGTACTTGTAGTATGTTACAAGATGCAACCTCAGTCAATCCAATGGCAAAAACTTCTCATGTTCAGCTATCAAAAGTCACGCCTTATAATCACGCAGTCTATTTAATTTTTATACCATATTATAGCTCAAGAATTCTATTTATTACTGCAAAGCGAAGCTAAGGTCAGTTATAAAAAGAAATAAAATTATACTGCTTTAAAATTGGAATAAAACAATGCGGTACATGTAAATGAATGTAAAATGGCAGCGTAAATAGTCCTTATCTTTGAGCTAGAAATGTTCCAGTGCAACATCATATTTGCCACAAATATTTTATACTAAAACAATGAGCAAATGTTGTAGCATAGCATGCTAAGCAAAGTAAAGCTGGCTGCTGCTTCAGGCATTCAGTAGAAGAGTGAAAACCTATTCTTCCATTCATGTTGCGTAGAATTAGCTTCCAACAATTTACGGAGTTTTACTAAAAAATTAACTTCCGTGTCCTTTAATTTCTGGACATGGCCACAACCGTCAATAACTCCCTCCAAATTAAAATAAATAATAAATATTATTCCTTACTATCTTCTTCAATCCCATCAGCTACAGCATTCGCTCCCATCTTCCTCAATGCTTGTATTAGTGCATCATAAGTTGGACCACCTCTCATTACACTATCTCTTTGTAGCAACCATGCTATCAAGCACTCTCTTAGACATCTATCAGCATCTCCATAGTACTTATTTTCAATATCATGAAGTGTATGAGAATGCAGACCCAGATCAAGACCAAGATCATAATATCTGTGACTAGAAAATCTATGCCTCTTTAGTAAAGTAAGTATCTTATCAAGATCAAAGATTTCTATAGAAAATGGAAAGAATAATTCATTAATGGATCATAGCAGACTCAATATACAATAACTAACTTAGTGGCTGGTGTCGTTTTGACTCTTTTACAAAAGGAGTTGCCATAATTGAGCTTGGAAATTTTTGGTATCGCCCACCTCTACTTTGAATTCAAATCTCTGTTACAGTCAAACGAATCACGTGACTAAGTCAGGCTCAAGCTCAGAGCATGAATCTCATTATATAGTCCGTAGATTATGATTTTTAGTAAAACAAAAAAACACATTCTCAAAAGAAACAGACAAAAACAAGAAATAAAGAACACAAGAATTAAACAAAGAAAAGAGACCAATCACTAGATTCATTCATTCAATACAGTCTCCAGATATCATCCTCATTCATAGGTCCTGTATCAGTAGTAGTCTCACTGTTCCCTGTACATTAGTAAGAGCTTCAGTAGCATAGTCCTTAGTTACATTATGTATTATTAAATCATTAACTGCTACCAGTTCATCTCCAGT